TCTAGTTTGATAGTGGAGAATCCTGTCAGGCATATAGGGGTGAGGTCGTTTGGGCAGTCGAAGCGTTAACGATCCTTTCTTCCAGGCTTCCAGACCCGAGCTCCCTCGGAACTTGTTAACGGAAGCGTGAGATTCGCCGGAGAACCGAGCCACCGCTAATGGACAAGTTCCTCGACGAGGAAGGTTTCGAGTTTCGGTGATTTCCTTCGACGTTTTCGCTCGCGGTCCGATCAACCGCATTTAACCGCGTCCCGACAGTCGAGAAGGCTCTTCCACGGCGCTCGCCAGAAGAGGAATCCCCGAAAGCGGTGGCAACGTGATCGAAATAATTGGATGGCGCGCGGTGACCGGGTTAAAAGTGCACGAGACCGGTCTCGCGCGATCGTTCGATGTGTGTATTTCGAGAAAGGGGATCGTACCGGGTCGATTCCTGGCCCCGTATTCTAAACTCGTGCCATCGAGATAGATCGGGACGTTTGAAAACGGCGATAAACCGTCTCGAGGGCGAATGGGAAAATAATTAGGCGTGCCTCGACACGACCCTTCCGTCGCGAGCTTTGTTTTTGTCGAAAGGGGTCGAGGGTTGAACGCCCTGGCGGAAGTGTCCCGCCCGTAAACCGGATACGACTCCTCTGGCCCCTTTAATTAATTTCGAGTCGGTTTCTTCCGCGGGACATTCATTCGCGACGACTAATGCGCTCGCGAAAAAAATGGAGGAGAGTTACAGTCTCGAAAATTTGCAATTTCCAAGGGTTTCGATGTTTGTTGAATTATTTTAATTTTAGCTAGAGTCTAGACCGCGTTCTTATTTCCACGCGTCGAACGAATATGTCTTTTCTCGTCGTTCGTCTCTCGGGTTCTCCTTTCGGAGTGATTGGACATCTTGTATCGGGGATCGGAGCTGATTGCCGGAGAACAATGCCGTTCAATTTCTTTTCCTTTCGCTGCGCTCACGCTTCGTTTAATCCTCCCCCGTTCCTTTCCGATAATTTCATTTCTATTCGCAGAAATAAGGACGGACGTAATCGTCAGAAAGTATAGAGACTTTTCAATACTTCTGGAATTATATAATCTGTACTAATATTGTGTGTCTATTGTGCAACCGTATATTAGGACTTTTACCTCTATGAGATACGATAGAGAAATCAACCAAGTTTCAGGACTCATTCGGTGCTTAAACTTTAATATAATTGATCTATTTACAACAAGGTTCTATCAACAAGTTGTAGAGAGCTTGCAGAATTTACAAACTTATCAATACAGTTTATATTCCCCAAACTGCTTGTTTTGTTTGGAGTTTAACCACAACACAAAGTGCAATAACCCACTGGGTATCTATATCTGAACTACTTCACCGTTCACCACTTCGAGTCGTACACTATGAATAAATGGAAAGATACTCTCATGAATTCCTTCCACTTATATTTTAACTATAATTTTGTTATTTATTACTCTTCTCTATTTGCAATTGTAATATTGTAATACCTAATTACAAACCCGGGTAGGAAGGTATAAATGATACAAACAGTACAGAAATCAAGAACAAGTGTTTTTTTTCTCCAAGCGGTAACCCATCATCCCGTGCTGCACGCGACCCAATGATGCTGCACTTTGATGACCACACAAGAATCGGTGGTGTCCAACGTGCCACGACCGTCCACATAAGAATCAAGCTTTTCTCTTTCATTTATAATGAATCACCATTGCAGTGTACGAATACGAATGGGAATAACTGTGTATAAAGCGATGGAAAGAGAACTTTTTTAAAATTGTCAGAACAATCACAGAAATTTGAATTCTCAAAAAGCTACAGGACGCAAAATATTTAAAGCAAGCTATAAATTATTATATTTAGGGGTTGATACAGCCCTTAATTCTATCAATAAAAATACGAATTCGTATATAAAGATCCACAATCTACTTGCTACATATAAGAATGTTTAGATCGTCTTTTTTGAGCGCGATCGATGTTTCGAATCGCCTGGAGGGTGGATCTGAAATCTTGTTCGGTATCCCAGGAGCAAAATAGCCTCCCCCCCGTCGACTTGGGTAAATATTTCTCGGTCTTTGTAAGTGGTTGTTTATCGAACGGTGAAAAGGGAACGCGACACCGCGACAAAGAATATTCCTGGAGCAGCGGGGACGGTTCTGTTTCGCGCGTCGATGGCTACGTGGATCGTCGGTTTGCGTCACGTCGATTTTTCCCGGCGCCGGTCGTTCGCCGTAAGCTCGTTTTACCCGTGGAGATAGAATTTCCCGCGGCTCGCGATTTCTTTGCCAGCGTCGACCTCGCGAGGACTTTACCCGCAACACGATAGCCTCTTATCCGCCTGTCAGGATTGCGTCAAGATTTACCACGGCCCGCCACGCCGAAGGGAACAGATTCCAATCCGACGAATCGTGAACATACCCTCCGATGGAAATGTAATTATAATAACATCCCTTTATTAACGGATTATCGCCCTTTACACGTAATTAACATATAACAATACGCGGCTTCGAGCATGGTAATTCGATTGTTTCGCGATTATGCATGGGATCTTGAATATTTTAAATATGGAAACGCTCGTTAATTGCTGAATTTCTCGCGATGATACAAAAATCATCCAACGATGTGTCTCGACATGTATGTCGAGAGTTTCTGAAGAGTTCGTTTCCAAGGCGAACTGCTTTCAATTTAGAAACCGTACTGAACGGATCCCTAAAATCTTCACGCTTGTAACAAAGACTAAATATTGAAGTTTGATTTAATCATAGAACCAATATCCCTACAATTCCAATATTAATGAATTATGAATGACAAAAAATAGGAAACTGAGTCAAGTCAAGTAAAGATCGACATTGCCAAAGATGCGATCTAAACAGTTTGAGACGTAGTTTCGTCTATCGACGAGTGGTAAAGAAAGGCAAACAAGGGATTAGGGGTTTGATCGAAAGGCTCGCATCGAATTACCGGTAGCGTTTCGCCGGATGGGGGACGGAAAAACGCGAGTAAATATATCGAAGGAGCGAAGCGCTCGTTTTGTCCATAGTCGTCGGGATAAAGTAGTCGCGCGTTGTCGGAAAATCACGGTGATCGGGACGAGCAGGGGGAAGGGGGGAAGGGGGGGGGGAGGAGAGGCGCCGAGACGTCTCGACGCCGGTTTACCGCCGGTTTATCGGCGTCGTCTTCTCGCAGCCTCGCTTCTCGTCGTCGCGTCTCCTCTCTTTCCTATTTCTCTATCGATCCTTTCTACTCCCTGTCTCTCGACTGCGAGAACCGCCCCCGCGTTTCTGCGCTAGACGCCAGATAAGCGACGACGATGGACCCCGCCGTCGACGCGTAAACGATCGGAACGTCGAGGATTCTTTCTACCGGAGCACTGTTCCAGCGGGCGTTCTCGAAAACGGCCGAAACGACCGACGTTCCCCTCGTCCCGGGACCCGGACATATTAACGCACACATCCCCGCCCTAAGAAAATGAAATTCCTGCCGCGGAAGCTGTGCACGCACCGCGTACACCCACGTTGCAACGCGCCGCGATATTAAACGCGGGATTTAATTAGAATTCGCGAAATTCTCGTTAATGTTAATTCGATAAACCCCGTAACGTTCCTTTCCTCCGCTGGTTTTACGCCAATGGGCGAGCGTTTTCGTTCGCGAGCTGAGTAGCGAAAATTTGTTAATACAGTCTTCGTACAAGCTAAGCATTAGAGAATTTGGGAAATAATATGGACGACAGAGTGGAGTACAAGTACACTGGAACTACCAAAACAGTCAAAATGACCCATTCGTGATCTCTGATAAAACTTGCAAAAATTTACTGTAATTTTCTGTAGCAGAATGAATGAAACACTAATAATACAAATAAATACACTATAATTGTGTCTACAATCACTATAGTATCACTATAATTGTAACATACACTTGTGTCACTATCGAAGCAATTAATCCAGTTTGTCGGACTAATAAATTCGAGCAGGGCGTGGTCGAGTATTTGCTATTTTGCAAGGAGGACGCGAATCGCAAAAGGTAAACTGTACACGCGAGATTCCAGCCTGGCATTCAACGGTGTCCCACTTTTCATACCGACGAGCATCGTCTTCGAGTTTAGGCGGAGAGATTTCTGTGCACGCGGACTTCCTTTCGAGCCCGGCGACATCCGTGACGCGCGAACGCGACGCGAGATTAAAATACTTTTCACCGTCGCTGCACCGGAGGACGACACCGTGGTCTTTCCTCCGGAGACGAATTCATTTTCGCGCCGAAAACCACGCGAGACGGGCCACACGAACCTGGGGGAAAAGAGGAAAAATGAAAAACACCCGAGAAATAACATTTGTGTAATAACTTTTTAACGAAGCCTCGATCAACAAATTGCTATTCTTGATTTTCATCTTATTTTGCTGTCCAGAATCTTCCATTAAAATTTTTCCCAAACACCCTGTATATTATTCGTATCGTTGTATCGATGAAATTGAAAATAAATTACACATGGAACCTTACACCTTCCGTGAATCTTGCGTTAAAGTCGGTTTATTTTATTTTTAAGAAAAAACGAGACTCGAGCGGGCCAGAATCGCGGGTAATATTTTGGCGGGAATCGTTTTATATCGGAAAGCCGATTTCTTAGCGGCTGTTTCCGTTTTCTCTAATAAACCGGCGCCGCGGCGGTCGGGTTCGCGCGGATGCGCCTTCGAGAACGGCACCGCTTTGCCGGGAAATTCGTTCCACGGCTGTCGTATACGCGGCCACTTCGGATAACTTCAAATCGGATCGAACGCGATATTACTTTTCACGACCTCGTAAAAGGAATTTACGAGGTGAAAACCGTATAACGTTATTACCCGAAATGGTTATATCTTGGGCCAAAGAGATTTACGGACACCGTATAAAAATCGCGCGATACCGTGAGCGCCGGACTTTGAAAACTGGGCTGAAAATTTATGCAACAAATCGTCCATATTTCCGTGGGACGTTGTTGTATTCGAAACAATGAAATTGCACGATCTGGTTGCAGGCTCCAGGGACGTTTATAGGCTATCGCGGAGTAACCAGCGACCAAGATGGCGGCTTTCGTGGCGAAGCAGATGGTCGGGAACAAGCTGAACGCTGTTAAAGGTGAGTCTTCGTCGTAGCTTTCCACAATTTTCGAAGAGTTGCAACCCGAGAAACTCGTATAAAAGTGTCTCCGATTCGCTGGGATCCTAACTTTCGAAAGGAAGGATCGAAACTACGCTCGGTTGAGCAGGAATTAGCGTTGGTCGTTTCGTTCCGGGTGGATCGACCAACTATATATATGCTCGATCCAAAACGAGTAAGAGACAAATTCGCGGCGTGTCACGTTCCACCTAAACGCGGAACGCCGGAGGTCGGAGGTGAATTTTGTGGATGGACCTTTCCACCCGTTTCTCTCCCCCCAAAAGCAATTCCTCCGAGAATAATAATTGCCCCGCGTTTCTTTCCATCGTTGCACGGGAAAGGAAAGTTTGTTTCGCGAAGACGTTCCCGTTTACTCGTCGGACTTTAACCTTCGAGGATCGTGCGATCGAATCGAGAACGGAATCCACGACCGATCAGTCGAGATTCGATTCGTGGAGCATTCCTCACGACGCAGGACCCGAACTTCATTTATTTTCCTTTTTTTTCATTTATTATTTGTAACGATCGTGGTTTTTACATTGTTGCATCGTTTGTTCGAGACTTGTTTTCTTTATTATTTTGAGGCTGGAAACAGACGAGCGACTTTTGTTGTTGTCTCTATGTGTTTCCTTGTTTTGCAATTAAAACAAGGAAGACAGACAATATCGACGTTTTTATGTCTGGCTTGGTTGTTTTCAATTGCAACAACAAAAGTCAATAAACTCCTACTGGGTACATATTTTCATTTATTATTTGTAACGATCGTGGTTTCTACATTCTTGGACTTCTTAAACTTGTTTCCTTTATTATTTTGACATATTCAATTGCTACTGTATTGCAACAACAATAAACAAAAATACATGTAACATTAAATTTCACTATCCTACGAATAGTCGATAATTGTCCCCACTTCAGTTGTTTATATCTAAAAAATTATCGAGTATCTGCGCCTGATATTTTACGTGCACCAAAGGGAATCATTATAGTTCTGCAAAAGCAGATTAAAATCGACAAATTCGTATTCCCTCGATAGAGTTATTGGAATTGAACTCTCAACGACTACAAAACCGAGATTATTGTGACATTATGAGGAACTGCCACAGCGATAATTGAATGAATTTCGCGATCACGGCGTTTGAAAGCGGCGATTCATCGTCGTATCGCGTTGAAAAAAGCGGCCAGTTCCAACCTTGTCTCGATATATTCGAGGAAAGGGGAGATGGAACATCGGTCTTCCCGGTAATTTTGTTCGCGTATTAAGATTGATTGCCAACGCCCGGGGAGGAAGAAAGCATTAGTCCGAATGACGAAGCAACGTTACGATCGCTGCACGGGAAAAAAGTTCTTTGTTTTTATTCGCGTCCCATCGATCCCAGTCGAAAGAATGTTCCTCCGACGCGGCCGGATCTCTTCCATCCGTGGCATTTGCATCGATCCCCGGTTAGATCTCGTTAATAACTATTTCATAGAGGGAGATTAGGCTCTGTTTCGCGGTAGAAGCGGTAATAGCGAATGAAATTGCTGGCAAACCAAATTCGTAATCGAATCAGCGTGCAGTTAATCGCGGAGGCATCGAATCTGATTTCGAGTTCCATCGAGGCTGGGTTTTGTAATCGAAACTCACTGCAATTCACGCAAACGATCAACGAAGAAACTCCGTTTGGGGAAAAGGGAGCGAAAGGAGGTATTCTGTCTTCTGTTTTCCATGAATCTCGCGACACCATGAACGCAGGTCCGCGACCGGACGCTTAATCATCGTTATTCGAGTTACAATTACAAGTTAGCCAGTTAGAGAGGGTATCGAGGATAGAGGGAACCGCGGGACTCCTCTGCGCGTCGTCGGCTGGCTTGTCGGCTCGCTGGCAGCTTGAACGATGGCCCGCAATAAAACTTGCGTCATTAAGGGAAAGTTTCCAGCCCCCGCGAATGCCACTGGCTCGAGGAGCAACCGTATCGCGGGGAATCCGTAATGGGAAACGGGAACTCGTCGAGCAGAAGAGCCTCGATCTCGGATCTATCTTCCCGGGGGTCCAACCCCCGCTCCCTTGGACGACCATCGATCCATCCTAGTCGCGACACCCTCTTCCACCCTTTTTATTCGTCCTCCCGACCGCCGTAGTTCCTTCGAATCTACTTCATTGTCGTACATCGGGCCCCTTGGCTACAGACTCGTCCCTGATTTTTCGTAGAAAACCATAAGTAAAAGTACTGTGATACTTGTTAGGAATGTTATTGCTTCGAACGATATTTCTATTTTACTATTGGATAATGACTTATTTAAAATTGGGTTTCTTTCAAGGGTTTCTTCTCCCGTTTACTGGATGAATTCATTGACACTTGGATCTAGGAGAATCGTTGCAGACATCATCTCAGTTTTATATCATTTGATTAAAGGCCAGATTCATTGCCCTCAATTAATCAATTTTCATGCTCCCACCAGGACATTTCTTCTTGATGTCGATAGATCCAGATTTGGGAACAGATCCACTCGATCGTCTTAGTCTGATCACGAACTCTTATTCCACTAACTTGGATTTTGTTCACATGCACTATTGCATCGTTCAAAAGCTGTGTATTTAAACTTTTTAAAAATTCTGTTGCTTCTAACTTTACTTTGATTATCATGTACGCTAATGGAGCTTCCTGTGTATCAAATGAATAAAGTAAAAAATGAAATTTATTAGTTATACAGGCAGTATTGCGAGCCTCTCGACGAAGTATGTGCAATTTTTCAGTGTTCGCAACGCGACTGGATAATACAGCGAGTAGAAACAACCGTACAAGGGGGTAACGAACAAACCCGAAATCGGCTCCGGAGCAATTATCACGGTTTGTCGGTCACGATGCAAAGCAATCGCGGGAGAGGAGAAGTCGGAAGTTCCGAGAGCCGGAACCCAGGGTTTGTTCGAGGGCGCGACGGCGGAGTTTTAGCGGGAAATGCGGTGGGGAAAGTTTCACGGGCCTCGAAGAGTGGACGAATCGAATGGCAATTAGTTTGCGGTGGCCTGGATGCGTGTCTCTCCTCGTCTTTGCCCCGAAAGGAGTCGCCTGCTATCTCTGCAACCTCTAACGCGAGGAAGAGTAGATTCGTGAAAACAAAAGGGGGAAGGAAGCTAACGAAAATTGCATTCGACGTAATCAAATCTCTTCCAACCCTCGGTGACCCCCACGTCATATATGGGTGACAGTACTTTTCGCTGTGGAACCTAAAACAATTAATCCTCAAGTCAAAACGTTGACACGTGTAGGATAAATACCGTACGATATTCTGCAAGATTAAATTTATGACTTTAAGCCATTGTAAACTACCCAATTTGTTTTATTTTATACGTAGAAATACGCCAATAGTAGAAAGTCTAAAATTGTCCTTGCAACGTGTTGTAAATTAATTTATTTTGTTAAATTTTATAAGCGATAATGTTTGACTATGTATAATCCACATCTGCAGTTCCTTACATATTACATCTTTGTACTAAAGGGTTTATTCTCGTTAATAAATGAATAAGACTCGGCTGAACGTCAAATGCAAACACTTCTATCGAATTAGGAGCATACGAATGAATTTGTTTTCTCTTCGACGTCTTAACTTGAGAATTAATAAACTTGAGAATGGGTAAATCGCCCATATATGGATGAGTCAAAGTGTTAAAGGAAATATAGAATTTTTGCTATGAATTTTATGCAGTTAACTATTGTCCAAAATCAAAGTTTTAACCTAGTAAAAAATTCCTTTAAAATGCTTTGATCCGCGAGCCATCGTGTTGAAATAACAATGGAGGGTGCTCGAGAAACCAGTAAACAATGAAAGACCAACGAGGAGCGTTTATAACTTGAAAGTTCGATCGACCAGACACCCCGTTCCATGTCCTGGAGCGTCCAGAATGCCGCAACTTTTTCCACGAGCAGGTTAATTGAAATCCTACGGATCGATCGACCGCGACCTACGCCACTGTGCGGTCGTACGGCGGAAGTCGACCGAACGACATTGGCCTTTCGACGTTCTCGGACATAAACATCGCCTATAATTCACCGCGACAACCCTTTCCCGCCGAGAAACACGTTCCCACGATTATTTACCGCGTTAAGATCGAGAAAGACGTTCGATCAAAGTGCTATCGGGGGACTGGTGATGCTCGTTATCGGGACATTTGACGTTCTCCATGGAAAATCTACCTATTTCACGGGTACCGGATTGTCTTCGCGGATTCGATAGGATTCACGACTGCGAAATCCCATTCGCGACGGATTTATTCGCGATGATGCGATATCGTTTTCAGTCAGCCTACGCTCGAAGCGTCGCGACTTACGCCGTTTTCCCGGATTCGAGGGATCGTGCACGGTCGCAAATAAACGACAAACCGCGTTGTAAATAATAACTGGCGAGGCGAGGGGAGAGGTTGCAACGATAAATATCGAGAATGGAAATTAACGGGACGAGAATTCGTTTCAGCGAGTTGCGTTTATTTGTTTCAACGGACGCTGGAACGTTCAATTACAGTTAACGTTAAATACGCAAAGTACATACATGCATACGTATCTCGTAAGCGAATAACTGGGGACGGTTATGGTAAGAGGACCGAAGGCGGCGTATCGGCGCGAGCGGCGATATTTACAGCTCCCGGATACGGAGATAATTATCTCGCGTATTTATAAATCACGTAAATGGTATATGCAAATGTCGCAGCATTGTTTCGATTCGCTGCTAGCCGTTATCGATGATTTATCCGCGTCGTCGGCGTTGCTTTGCGGACAGGAACGTTTTCGGGGAACGGTCACCCGAATTTTATGCAAATTTAATTATAATAAATTCGTCTAACGCGATGGATCGACCGGATTTAATATAAAATATCGCACAGTTTCAATCCGAACATCAATGCTAAATATACGAGCATCGATCGCACATATTTTTATCACATCGATCAAACTCGATTGCTGTAATTTGAAATATGGAATACGGTGTTAAGAAACCTGTCCTCCCC